AGCTTGAAGGCTGTATTATCCCCATTGCATATGGGACGAGCAGCTCCTGCAACAGGCAATTCCTGTGGTACAGCCCAAGGCATGGGAGCCTCAGGAGGGAATTTCTGTGGGAGGTGGGTTGTGTGCAGCAGCAGCAGCCACGGGAAGGTCTCCTTGCTGTCCTAGGGTGCGTTGATGCTCTAAGTAAACTAGATGTGCTGGTAGTGACTTTGCCTCGTGCCTTCAGGTGCATCTTAACTCTGCTGTTGCGGTGTGCGTGTTCCCATRGGAAACGCTCCAAATTATCTAAAGCTTGTTGAGAGGCTCCTGCGGCTTCAGGAGTCTTGGGTCTGGACATTGGTGCTGCCCAGCTGACCCACTCTCTCTGTGCTTTCAGTGGTGTTCCAGGACAGGGCTTGGGTGCCATGGGCAGGTGGAGGTTGCTGTGCTCAGGCCTCACAGGACAGGACAGGGTGGGACAGGACAGGACAGGACACAGACCTGCATGCCAGGTTTCATGGAAAGCTGCTGATGTAGCTCCTGGGTTCTGTTCCGTGCTCAGCAAAGGAGCTTTTGAGGAGAGATCACTGCTTCCTCCTTCTTCCTTAGGTTTGAGTCTTTCTTCTTGCTTTCTTCTATCCATTTTCTCACTTAGACGGTCCTAGTCTTCCTCCCCCMTGCCTCCTTCTTGTCCCACTCTCTTTGCTCGGTGCCTGTCTTCTCAGTCCCGTTCCTCTCTGAACTTTTGGGCTCATGTCCTCACCGACTGGATTACAGTTCTGCATCTCCCCATCAGATCTGCCTCTGCCTCTCATCTAATCCCTCTGTCTTCACTTCCCACAATGGTTCCTTGCCTTATTTTATGTTGTAGTTTGTGTTTGCCTGCCAGTGCTGCTTTCCCCCTTGCTCTCAATCACGGTTCCAGCCTGCACTGACTCCCAGACCCAGTTACTCTGTCCCCTCTCCGAGGTCACTGTGTAATTCTGTGTCACTCAAGATGCTGCTCTAGCAGCCCGATTGCAGGCAGTATCTTACATTTGTGTACTCCACTTYTGGGTCTTCTCTAAGAACAACTTCATCATTTAAAACTGAATAGCTTCTTTTCTCCGTATGGATTCACTTGCTTCCCACGCACTTACCATGGGCAGCTACCTTTTCAATTACCGTTTTTTGACATCTTTCATTTTTTATGCCCAGAATTTGTCCCAAAACAGCAACAGCGGCGCTTTTAGTGCTGAGCCCAAATGATTCTGTTTTGGAGACTGGCATTTCTYCCTCGTGAGGTGGCTGTGGGCTCAGAAATGCTTAGCTAGGGCCTAAGACCATTTAACTGCAGCAGAAAGTATCCTGGGAGTGAATTACGAACGGGTTGTCCAAGTGCCTCAGTGTCACATTCCAATCAAACACATTCCAATCAAACACCAGCCAGCAAAGCACCTGGATATCTCCCGTCTCCCCAGGGAAAACCGTTTTGTCTTTCCTTGAAATACCCTTCAGGAAGTTCTTTAACCTAACAAGCAAAACTGCTTAATCCTAGCAGTGCTGCTGCTTAGGTTTGAGAGAAAAAAATCCACCKTTTTAGTGCAGGCTAAGCTGCTGAGACCAGGCCAGCCTTAGCGAGTGAGGAATAGAGGATTATGCAAGGGCAAGTTCAAGTCTGAAAGAAAGAAGAGAGATTTAGGGTAATTTTGACCAACAGATCTAGAGGAATGAAGGAAGGCAAGTGGGATGGAGATATTTTCAAAGATAAGAAGTGAACTAAGCCAACAGGACGAGTAATCTGAGCAGAGGGCAGCAACGTGTGGGTGATGGGGACTAAGCAGCCAGCTGGAGGCTTCCAGTTCTCGGTATCTCCAGCTGTAATTCTCCAGCAAACCCTACTAGGCCTTAGTATTACACTGAAGTGAGAGGAGGTAGGTGTGGGCTTTGCAAAGGCTTGGTGGTTGCGGATGCAGTATAGAATATTAACAAGGAGAACAGTGTCCAGCTGGTAATTTCCCAATTAGTTTGCAAGGCCGATTAGGCAACTCAGAAAACTCGGATCTTTGGCGGAGAGCATTTTCCATGGACTGGATGTTTTTCCCTGTGAGGTAGCTGAACCYCCACGGCAGGGGAGTTTCTAGCCATGCTTAGGCTTCTTGAGGCTTTTCTTGCAACCAGGGGGGATCTCAGTGGTGTGTGGGGACAGGCTGCCCCTCTCCAGGAGCGCTCCCTCCACCTGGCCTTCCAGGTTAGCAGCATCCAGGGTTGGGAGCAGGGAAGTAGGATCCCTTCTCCAGTCCTCTGGCCCTGCTTGCCCTCCCTACCCYCTTTTGGAGGCCTTGCCTCCAGGCAGCTGCAGTGTTCGGGGCTACTCCAGCGGATCCAAGCCTACAAGGGGGGTCTGTTTGGTCTGTGTCACTGTGGTGGGGCAGCACAGAGGCATCACGGAGTGCCGCAGGTGCCGGGAGGGGACACAATAGTGCCTTGTTCTTGGTCCACGAGAGCTGCCAAGCGGCCTGGTAATTGTCCCTGGCACGAGGACGTCTGAGCGTCTCTAGATACCTCATCTCTYGGAGGGTTTAGCAGCCGAGCTGCTGTTCGTGCTGGTTGAAAGGAGCGTTTCACGTTGCTGTATCATGACTTCAGCATTCCAATGCTAGGGCCCGAGCCGGGAGCTGTTGCTYGTAATTACTGAGATAAAAACAACAAGGACAAATACTCATTTGTAGTGGAGATTAACGGGATGACACCTGCTCCTGACCTGAGCACTGCACAGGGCGGCCTGGATGATAGAACAGAGTTAAGTGCTCCCCTTTATTCCAGAACAATCCCATCTACAAGACTATCAAGCAAACAGCCATTATAGCAGCCTATTACATCCTAGTGCCAGCTGGCTGATATTCAGGATAATTCATGTTATCACCTTGCATTTATTTTATATGCTTCCAATTCATCCGGCAATGGGACCGAGTCAGTGATTGCATCTAGTTTGGAAGCRCCTCTTTCAGAGTTACTTCAGAAATACAAGAGCAACCTTTGGAGGGATTAAAATGTTTTGCACTGGTAAAGGATGCACCAASTATGTTCATTGGAAAGAATGGCTCCGGACAGAAAGACTCAGCTAGGTCTCTGTGATGTTTTTGTAAATAAAGATGCCATGTGTAACTTTAGATATGGTGGAAGTTATTAAAGTTTTACCTGGAAACCAGAAAGTGAGTGTCCTAGAATCCAGGGAGTAGAGCAATTTTCATAGTTCCARTGTGGAAAAAAAAAAAAAGTCTGGGTAAAAAAGGAAGAAATAAGAGGAAAACAAAAAGAAAGCAGCATTGTCCTGAGCTTTGCAGATAAACGTCTCCAGCCGGAGAGGCTCCCGTAGCCTCGTTGCCACCAGAGTGACTGCTTGAATGGTCCCCGTTTCCCTCGTAAGTCACCCTCGCAGGAACCGTCCCTGCGTGACCCCTCCCTGCCCGTTCGGAACCGCCYGCGGCCCTTGCACCTCCCCTGCCCTCTTTTCACTTGGCCTCTGTGCTTGGACAATCCGCTGGAAACCTGAATTAGCAATAGCTGCGTGAGACTGAGAGTAGAGGAATCCTCAGTATTCATGTGGCTATTTATTATCTTAGTGTTCTTTTTATCCTTGAAATCCATACCTATATCCAKACTATCTCAAGAAAGATATATTCGTTCCTTTTCTCTGTCCTCTGTTCTTAACGGTTTTGGTGTAATTACATCGATCCTTTTAAACCACGGTGTCCCAGCGTACACGGTAACTGAGTTCCAAGTCACCAACCCGAGGCTAGAATTCCTGCTGAAATTTATATGCYTGAGGATTGTCATACAGGCTACTAGCAGAAGTTGTATTTTATTAAGCGCATGAGATAATAATAAAAAAAAGCTTTTCTTTATTCTAGCTCTAGATATTCCACACAAGCTGTAGCTAAAAATCTCCAGGGGAGAAGAAAATTAAAATTTGAATAATTGGTGGGAACTGTGTGTTACAGCTATTGTTGATATCATCAACTTTTACTGTCTGCTCAGGAAGTAAATGGTTTAGGTGCTGAGCTGTGAAAAAGTCCTGGAGAGAAAATGGCAACATGAAAATTCAACCTGGCCTTGCAGTTTTGCAGTGCAACAAGCTGCTCCAGGCTTTTTGCTGCCAAAAGGAAGCAGCTGCTGCTCCCARGTACAACAGAAGTGCCACGTGTTCAGCTGCGGGTCAAACGCTTCCCGGTGGTCACCAGTGCCAGGACAAGGGGCAGTGGGTACAGATTGAAACACAGGCAATTTCATCTCCATGTGAGCAAGAACTTCCTCACTGTGAGGGTGACAGAGCCCTGGCACAGGCTGCCCAGGGACGCTGTGGAGTCTCCTTCTTTGGAGATCTTCCAAACCCGCCTGGATGCCGCCCTGTGCCCCGTGCTCTGGGTGTCCCTGCTGGAGCAGGAGGTTGAACTAGATGATCTCTAGAGGCCCCTTCCAACCTCAGCCATTCTGTGATTCTGTGATTCCATGCCAATTTAACAGTATTAGTGCATTTATCAGAATATCAGCGTCATTTGGAAAGGGTTACGTTGGAAGTCGGAAATGATGGTCTCGCTCGTGTTCCTCATTGCAGCCAGGTCTTTGGAAGGCAGTAGAAACTGAGGTCTCTTGCTGTACTGGGCTTCCCAAAGGCTGCTTTGCTGCGGGGCCGTGGCAGAGCGGGGTGCTGTGGGGCGCCGTGGGGCGTGCGGCTGGGCCGTCCTGCAGGCCGCGGCCGGGCTGGGCGCTCGCCACGCTAGTGTTTGCTGGAGCTCAACAGCAGTGGCTTCTCTGTCCCCGTTTGTCTTCCTCCTGTTGAAGCTGTGGGATGCTCGTCACGGGTTCGGYGATCTGGCAGGGGTTGGGGTTTAAACCCTTAAGTCGCAGGAACTAAACTCTAAGTTTCACCCTGGCAAGGCAAAAGAGCAGCAAACGAACCAGACTGTATGCATCTGCTGCAGCCCGTTGTTAGAGCTTCCCCGGCAGTCCTTCTAACCAGGAATACTTCTCTTTTTTAGCTGAAACAAAAATCTGCTTCAAATACTACCACGGCGTGAGTGGAGCCCTGCGAGCCACGACCCCCAGCGTCACGGTGAAGAACAACGCGGCTCCCGTAAGTTACTGCCAACCTTCTTATTGCCATTCGTCTGCCCTGCTGTCCCTCTCCTGTGCGTTGATTCCTTGCCTGCTTTGTCTACTTTTGCTCAGGATAAGTTTGCTCAGGATAAGTTTGCTCAGGATAAGTCAGGATAAAGTTTGCTTGTAGATGCACTGTAACACCCAGGAATGGGTAACCTGTTGAGTTAGGCATGGATTTGTAGGCCAAGAGGACTGGGCTTTGCCGCAGGTAACGTGAGTGCTTCTGGGCAAGTCCCTATCCTAGCTCTGTGCCCTTCTGTTAAACCCTCTTCTCTGGACTGGGTGTTGTGAGACACAGGGTGTTGTGATATATTTGGGTTCCTCAGATTGAAAATACCATAAATGTCTGGGAAATGAAGTTTATTTTACTATTTTAAGGTGCATTTTTCAAAACTGAGAAGGGGTCATTGTCATTGCCACCTTTGAGCTTCAGGATCAGATGGAACTTAYTATTTCAGAAGCAGCAGTGTGGGCATTTAGGCCCTGGTTCCGCAAAGTGCTGGAGATCATTTTGATAGACTGAAGCCTCCCTGAAAGCAATTTTGGTTTGCTAGAGCTTAATACATCAAGTGGCTCAAATGGTGCTGGAAAAGCAATATAACTTGCCTGGTTTCAGAGAAGTTAATCCCCCTAAGAAGGAATTTTTTTAGAAGCCCAATGAGAGACCTGCTGATGGAGAGTTTCCCTGGCCTGCCGGGGCCGATCTTGTCGGGGAGCTGTGTAAGCAGCTTGTTCCAGCAAACTCCAGACAAAGACCAGCCCTTATGCTGCTTATCATGAAAACTGAGTTCAGGAAAGGCCTGTCTTCACTCTGCGTGTATCTAGATTTTAGTAGGTGGCACTGAGGCTTATGTTTTAGAAGTTCTCTCTGCCTTCTTTTGGAGAGTTGGAATTCAGCAGCAGCTACAAATGGAGTGCTGGGTAGAAGGTGGTGGTGCATCCTTGGGCAATGCAAGGTGTTCGTGTCTCCGTAAAGTCCTTTATCATATGCTCAAAGTGGAGCCATTCACCTGTTTGGGGCTGCACAAAATCCCTTTCCGCTGTCTTAAGAAACCTGATGTGACCTGGAATATTTTATGGCCAATCTGAAGTTTGTGGGATACTGAACAGTGCTGTGAGGTGACCTGGGAATTACCATTGGTTTCCTGGTTAGCATCAATTCGGAGGGACCGTCTACGTCCTTGGTTTGAATCCCAGGCTTACCTGCAAGATAAGCCAGGCAACCAAAACAGTAAAGAGCAATAGACTGAAAGATTAGAATGATTCTTTTTTAGGAGTCGTATCTATGTCTCAGACTTGAGTTTGAACAGATTATTTATAAAGCTGACAAATCTAGTGTGGAAGGACAATTGTTTCCTTATTGAATGTCAGCAGTGTGTTTAAATAAGCACAAAAATGTCTGAAATCTTGCACCTCTGGTTTAGATATAGGTAATCTAATCTAATCTAATCCAASCCCTTGTTTCTACATATGTTGGACATAAATGGCCTTCGGCAGCCATTCATTATTAGCAGAATGGAAGGACTTACCTTTAAAATAAAAGTCCTTTTCCTTTTTTTTTTTTTTTTTCTAGAAGTTGTAGCCATCCTTGAGTTTGGGTGAGCAAAACAAAATCCTACTGTGACCTTCAACTGCGTATACTGTACTGAAAAATAAAATGCCATGAGAAGTAGTGTCAGGTAATAGTTCTCCATTTGAGGGTAGAAACAGTGTCCCTGGCAATAGCATTCCTTTCCTTTCCGGATAACAAAGGCACCTACACCTATTTTCTCTTGCCTTTCTGTGTCCCAGAATAGTATGTGTGCTTTGCAGTACTGCAGATACCTCACCAGCTCTCTGTTGCTGTCTGGCCATACAGGGCTGCACGGCAGAACTATTCGGTGCATGATAACACAAACGCTGAGCAGGGAAGACAACAAAAGCCCAGGAACAACAACAAGTTGATGCAGTTTGAGCCTACGTGACCCTCCTGTATGAATGCAAGAGAAGAAATGCTGCAGATTGGAAAGCTCCTGTGTGAACCGAGAGAAGAACAGGAGGCCGGTTCTAGCGTGTKTCATGGTTTTAGCTAATCCCAGCAGAAGCCATTGGATGTTTGCATCCATCTGGCTCTCAACAGTTCCCATGTAGCCTTTATTGCCAGGATAGCTGGATGCTTCCTGATGTTCTGCCCCGCTGGGAAGTGGTGGGATTCCCAGAGGAAAGGTGGGAAGTAGAAGAGGAGGAGTCTGCACAGCCGTGCAGGGCGCAGGCACCACCCCTGGAGCTGCACAGCCCAGGGGCCTTGCTGTTTGCAGGCCATGTCCCTGATTTCATGGTAGGGATTCAATGGGAAGCTCTGCTGGGGAGAGGAAATTGGGGACYGTTAGGGTGTGGGGGGTTTTTTAACTTTTTTTTGTGTTTCTTTTAAAGCCCCAGTTTTTGTAGACGAGGGAAAAGTTACAGCCCAGCCTGTCTGCTTTAAAGGAGACTTCCAACACTAGAGAAGGGAAAAAGTGCTTTCAAAGAGACCCCGGTTCAAGGATTCCACACTCAAGTATTTTGAGTGGAAGGAGAGAGGGAGAAAATGTAAAATAAATGCCCAAGTAGCCTGCTAAAGGCAAGGAGCTGTTTTATTTTCCCTTTACCTGTGCGTGGCCAAGGGGGACCCGGGACAGTGCGGCTCCGTGCAGAGCTTGTTGGAGCTCCTCGTGCCAGCGGGAGCTGCCGCAAGGAGCCTCCCGTGGCAAACTTGGCACAACCAATCCTYGTTGTGCTGAGGCTGCTTTGGCACAGCTCCTCTGAGCCAATTCTTCAGCAGAAAAGGATGTGTTTGTGGCATCTAAAACTCTTTGTTACCCTTTTATCTAGTCATAACATTGTAGCTGCTAATTCACCTTYCTGTCAGATGTCAATGTGGAAAAATGAGCATTTGTTTATTTATCTATCTTGCAATTACTGCAGTTATTCCTAGCAGGAGGAAAGCTCTGCCTTCCTGGTGGGAAAGGCCAGGTGTGTAAAGCTGGTTTAATCCAAATCTGGCTCTTTGGCAGGGAGACCAAGCAGGCACAAGAGCAGCATGCAGCATGAGAAAAAAACCTTTTCCCCAAAGAGTTCAGAGCCTAAAAAGATTAATTGGATGCACCACAATTAAAAGACAGTAAGTGGAGGATCAATGTTTTCGCCTTAGGACAACTGTCAGCGCTAAACTGGGCGCACTCGCCAGCCCTGTATTCGCTGCAAGCAGCGATGGGCGATCCACCCTCTGGAGCTTGTGTGCCACCGTTTGCCTCGCAGCTCAGTACGGCACCCGCCAAATGCACTCAAAAAAGGAGAGGAGAGGAGAGGAGAGGAGAGGAGAGGAGAGGAGAGGAGAGGAGAGGAGAGGAGAGGAGAGGAGAGGAGAGGAGAGGAGAGGAGAGGAGAGGGAGAGGGAGAGGGAGAGGGAGAGGGAGAGGGAGAGGACAGGGGAAAGCTTAGCTTTGTGGATGGCAGCTTGTTCTTGGAAGACCCCTTCCTATACCGTGTTTATGTGGGAATGCTGGCACCAGGCGGGTTTCCCGCCGCAGCCACTGGTGCCTGCTAAGCCCCCGCCGTTGGAAGGGGCCTGATCATTCCCGGGGCTTCCTGCTGCAAATATCTGCACTGGCTGCTGCCATATCCCAGCGCGGGCTGCCAAGGAAGCCGCACGAGGAGGCGTCCCGCCTCATTTCCACGCCGGTGCTGTGACCCGGGATGCTCCGAGCGAGCTTGCACGGACGAGCTGGCGTTCCATGTCCTTTCCAGTGGCTGTGTGTGAACTGGCAGCTGCGCTGTGGCCGTYGCTTCCTGCCTTGTTCTGTGACAGGCGACTTTGCAAAGCCTCTGTGTTTGCAAAGCCTCCCTTTCAGAGCCTCGCTGCGTCCGGGACAGAGCTGACAGCCTGSTTTTGGGAGTGAGAGAATAAAGCTTGAGAGCAGAGGATGAAGAGGGAGCRGAAACCTCTAGTGGTTTCTGCACACCTCAGCAGTTAGGGTAAAAAAAGCTGTGTGGAAAACACAGCATCAAGGTGTTGCCATTAATCACAGCGAAGATGGCAAGCCGGGAACATGCAGAGCACGGGTAAGTGCTGTGCCCTGCAAGCATCAGCATCGCTGGGAAGGCAGCACCGCCTCCCTGGAGGCCACGGCATCTCCGTGGGTGACCAGGCACACGGCAGAGAGCGGCCACCGGATCCGCCTTACACACCTGGAGGGGAGAAGCATCAGGGCCCTCCCGACTCGGTGTYGAAATGCCACCTGTGAGCAGCCTGTCGCCATCTGTGCCCTCCTAATCCGATGGCCTGCAGAGGAGAGGGAGTCTTTGGGGAGTGAGAAAGTCGAGGCACAACTAGCAGGGGAAATCACCGAAACTGGGGACGTTTGCTCAGCTGGAAGGACGAGACAGGGCGACTACAGCAGCCAAGCACAAAACGCRCTTTGCCAGGACTGCAGTGTGCAGGAGTCTCTCACAATGTCTGGGCTAGGAAACAACTGCGCTAATCACTGACTGAAACTCGGTAGCTGTCGTTAGGCAAAAAATCCTGGGGAAAAAAGCACTGAATCCAAACACTGTGGTGGATGGAGGGTGATCCATCCACCTAACTGTCAGTTTAAGGCTGAGGGAGCTGGGCCTGTTCAGCCTGGAGAAGAGGAGGCTGAGGGGGGACCTGATCAGTGTCTATAAATACCTCAAGGGAGGCAGTGAGGAGGAGGGGGCGGCCTCTTTTCAGTGGTGGCCAGCAATAGGACTAGAGGAAACGGCCACAAGCTGAGGCACCAAAAGTTCCACAGGAACTTAAGGAAGCATTTCTTCACTGTGAGGGTGACAGAGCCCTGGAACAGGCTGCCCAGAGAGGTTGTGGAGTCTCCTTCTCTGGAGRTCTTCAAAACCTGCTKGGAYGCAGCCCTGTGCCACGTGCCCTAGGTGACCCTGCGTGTGCAGGGGGGTTGGACTGGATGATCTCTGGAGGTCCCT